CTGAGGTGATCCCTGTTGTAAATAAATCTCCTTTTGTTTTCAAAGAAAGAACTGTCTGCGCGTGAGTCCGTCCAGTAGCCATGACACTAGCCATTACCCATTCTTTAATTTTGTCTTTTTTTATTATAGCGAAAGTATTCTTCAGGAAAACTTCTCCAGGCTTCTTGAAGGACATTCAAAGCTCTTCTTTGGATGTTGGCTGCCTTTTGCTCCCTTCTCTGTCAAGATGATCCCACTATTCACTAATGTTGAGGTTCAGGCTGTGGGGAGGCCAATACACAATTGATAGCGTTCCATAACGTGTTTTTCTATCTGAAGATGGTGGTGTTGTAAATGCTATTTATTGTTTAATTACGTTAGCATAATGGTGATAGGAAGGCCCCAACCCTGCCTTCCTAATGTTTATTTTGTGTTTATTATTATTATGATCTTGTGTTCTAGTTCATTCTGATTATGTGTTTGGGTTTAAACGTTTTCGTTTTTAGGGTTTTGGTTCTGTCTGTTACCGTGTCTCTGAGTCCAGTCTGTGCTTGTCGTCGCGTCGTCCCTCATTCTACTCTGTGTGTTCTGTTTGCCGTTTTCCTGCCTGTTAGTTTATTTGCTTTCCCACTTTAATTCGTTTTCTGTTCAATCTGCAAGCTCCCAATAAAGCAGGGTGTTTTGACTTCACATTTGCCTCCATGAATCCTGCTGTTGGGTCCACCATTCCTGCCTGCCTTCACACAGCCATGACATTTTCTTCTTTTTTCTTCTGTTATCAATCTTCCATTCTTTGAGTCTCTGTTTCTTCCTTTTCTGCTTTGCAATTTTTCACTTTTTCCTTGTTGTTTGTTCCTGCTGCGTTTATTGGATGCAAGCTCCTCTGTAGAAAGAAACACAATGTAGGACACATGTAGCTTTGGAAGATGGGTGCAACACTGAGTGTCCAGCTCAGCTCAAAATTCAGTGTTTAAACGTTCTTCTAGCTCTCCCATCTTCTTCTTCATCCTCCTCCTCCCTTGGTCTGCTCCTTGAACCTCCTGGTACTGGGCTGGGGGGGCAATAACACAGGAGCATCCTGGCCATTGTCTCCATCATCATCAGTTTCACTGTCATCCGTGTCACTATCAGGACCACTTTCAGGGACACTTTCAGTGTCACTCTCAGATCCTTCATCTTCCCACCACATTTCCTCAATTATCAGATCTTCTGCTTGCTCAGCCGGGTTTAATTCAAAGTCTCCTGCTCCATTCTTGTCCCAGGTTCCTTCTATTTCCTGAGGTGGTTTTATTTTGATGCCTCCTACCAGAACATCAACCGCCTCCTCGTGTTGTGGCAGGTGATTAACAACTAGACCGCGCAACAGGTCGATTTGATCTTTCTCCTCTATCCATTTTTCTCGGATGAAAACAGTCTGCTACAATAGACTGGAGGAAACTGGTCGTCACAGCTGTCAGACTTTAGCTGACTGGTTTCAAACTTTTAAAATGTCCTTGAAAAAGGTTTGAAATCTCTTTAGCAAACTGTTTAAAAACACGGGGCAAATGTGGACTAATCGCTGCTGAGTGCTGTGATGAACAATGCAAACTTTTTACTTATATTTATGGGATTGCAGAGATCAAAGTCAAGATTTTTATTGGTTGTTCTGTGTTCTAACTCTTGTGTCACCGGTGACTTTGAAACTTTGAAACTGTTTGGTTTACGTTCACACCACTCCACGAGTATTGTGCATAAAGTTTCCTCAGGCTCATGATTTCTTTTTCCTTTCTGGCTGAATTAAAATAAATTAACTTAAGGAAACTAGGGTGAGTCTTTCATCAGTAATTAATCATTTAAAATACTTTACTGCCTAAAGTCATAGGTGTGAGTGCGAATGTTTCTGTCGCTCTGTGTTAACAAGCTGGCGACCTGACCGGGGTGTACCCCACCTCTCGTCTCATGGCATTATGCTGGGATTGGATTCAGCCCCCACAAATTAGATAAGTGGTAGAAAATTGATGTATGATATAATACATACCTGCCTGATCAACCGAAGTATAATATTGACCAAACTAGCAAACAGTTACCAGAGGATTGTGCAGTACATCTAATTTAAAGTAAATCAGTGAACTGTCTGTGAACCTTAGACTTAGATATGAACAGACTGAAATATCCACTGGAAGTGGAATATTAACCTAGTGGGACGGATTTAAATGTCCTTTTTGTTGGTCCCACACTCTTAGAAGGGATGTGTTAAAATTGACACATCATGTGTTAATTTAAATTTAAATTTTAACACATGTGCTGCATCAGCTCAGGGACAACACATGATGTGTCAGTTTTAACACAATTAATGTGTCTGCTCCTTTAACACATCTTCTGTGTTAAAAAAAAAAGTCAACACAAGGATGTGTTATTGTGACACAAAGATTTGTTAAAATGTGTACATTTCAATTTTTTTAAAAAAAAATGAGAAAAATGGGTATATATTATACATTTATTGAATTCCATTTTTACTTAGCATATTATAAATTATAACAAACTGAATAAACAACAGTTGTCAGAATCTTTTCAATTAAAATGTTCTACATTCAATTTTAGCCAAAGCTTTATCACAATTTGTACTTGACAAAATCAAACAAAATTCATATCTGACTAACTTTCTAACTCTCTAGATCATTAAAATGTCATTAAAAAGGGCAATTATCATATATATATATATATATATATGTATGTATGTTCTGATATAAGCATGTCCAGACAATACATGAATTACATTTTTTTAAAGGTAACAGTTGTCATCTTCAACAAATTGTCAACATTCAACAAATGTGCAGTTGCATGCAAACAGAAAAACATACATTTTGGCGAATATAGCATCCAGGTTATACAATTTTGTACCTTGGGTTTAAATACAGCTTATTAGCATCAAAGCTTGTCACTATATATAAAGGCCAAAAATGAAAAATTTCAGCCGATATAATCAGTTCATATTGTCTGACCTTCCCACTGCATAGGCATAAAAATGGTCCTAAAAAGCAGTGTATTTGACGAAGATCCTGTTGTTAGATTCTGAAAATAACACACAAAATGTGTTAAACTGCGCAACACATCAAGTGTGTTAAGCTTTTTACACATTTTTTCAATGTTTACACATTTTCTTGCACGTTATGTTAGAATTCACACAAAAAGTGTTAATAGTGTAATAACGCATTTTTTGTGTAATTTTTAACACATCCTTTCTAAGAGTGCAGCGGATGACTTGGTGGTGGATCTGTGCGCTATTTCGTTTTATAGCTGACCCTGAAGCTAGTGGGCCATTTCTCAGTACGGCTGCTCTGACTCAGCCTACAACCCCCGCCCCGATAACTGTAGTAGTGTTTCACAATCAAGTCTGCGTTCCGCTGAGGTAAGCAACACAAAGGGCAGGTACCCGTGGCCTTTTCTCTGCACTCCAGCGAGCATGGCTCTCCTGTCCGTGTTCACGCCTGTTCTGGCGGTGGTTTTATGCCTGGTGATAGGCTTCGTGCTGGTGAAATCATGGGACACAGAGACCACTTCCACATCTCCAGGCAAAAGTAAAGGGGCGACAAAAGGGGAGAAAAGACCATGGGTCGACCAGGACTTACAGGACGATACAGAAATCACAGCAAAAGAAGACGGTGAGAGCTGAGCCTTGTAGTTCGCTGTAGGGCTGAACTTTTTTTTTTTTTGGTGTGGTTGGTTGGATGCATGCTTTAGAGCCAGTTGCATAATGTTCAAATGTAGGTCACAACTTTTAAAATGCAATGTAAACTGAACATTGAACACAATAAAGAATGTGGTTACCGGTTTAAAATGTTTCGGCAAAGGTTCTGCGTGGATTCAAAAAGAGTTTTTTTTTTTATTGGTTGTCTATTACATAACGTTCCTCTGTTGTTTTTCACATGAAACTCCACAACTTGGCAAGGCCAGTAACTGTATCCTCACATGCTCTTTAAACTTAAAAATGTATCATTTAAAGAAAAAATAACTCATTATGAATTTGATGTCAGCAACACATCTCAAAAAAAGAAAAAAATACTTTGAGAGTGGAGAAACAAAAGACTGAAAAAGTAAGTTGTAATAAAAAGAAACAGCTGGAAGGACATTTTCCCATTGGCAATGGACCAGTAACACCACTGGGTTTAAAAAAAGAGCATCTTAAAGCGACAGTGTTTCCCAAAAGTAAAAATGGGTGAACCAAAGAACCAAAAATAAGTGTCTGTAAATTATTGAAAATTTCCACAAAATTGTTCTTCGAGTAAAATTGTGACAAATTTGTATATCTTATTATAACTAAATTCGATATTCAGAGAATCCGGAGAAATCTCTGCGTGCAAGGGACATGGCTGAATATAAGTAATGCCAGTGCATTAAAAGCAGGCATGATTGTGTCACGGAAATCCCTGAGAAGAATTGCAGAATCCGCTGTCTGTTCTCCGTACTTTCCACAAATGCAGGTTAAAGCTCTATCATGCAAAGAATAAGCCAAATGTGAAAGTGATCCAGAAACACTGTCTTCTGGTGTAAAGAGGAAAGTGACCACCAGGGTTGTTATCGGCACTCAGTTCAAAAGCCTGCATCTCAGATGGTGTGGAAACACATCAGTGCCTGTGAAATTGGCAGCTTTCACATCTGGAAAGGCGACATTATTGCTGAAAGGTATATTCAGGTTTTAGAGATGTTCCAATTCAGATGGCGTCTTGCATATTTCAGCAAGAAAATGTTAAACTGCATACTGCATCCATTACAGCAGCACAAGTGCAGAAGACTCCCTGTGCTCATCTGGCCCACAGTTCCCACATGATGGAATACTGTTGTTAAAAGCAGACGGGATGCTACGCAGTGGAAAACAGGAACCTGTCACAACTGTATTTGAGACATGCTGCTGTCATCAAAATTAAAATAACCCAGTATTTATCATGAAATACTAAGATATGTCAGCTTAAACATTTCATATGCTTTGTGCTCTTGTGAATAAAATGTGGACTTATGAAATTTCCAGATCATTGCAATTGATTGCGATGACTTTTTACAGTGTGTCCAAACTTTTTGGGATTGGAGTTGTATTTTATTGGTATGTCTTTCTGTCTTTCATCTTTTATAAGATGATGATGCTGATGAAGGTTGGGGGGACAGCACTGAAGAGGAGAACCTCACACAACTGCCTTATTCACCGCAGCGATACCCTGAGGAGACAATGCTGCAAAGGTCCAAGGAGTTTTACACTTTGATGAACCAACGGAGGTCTGTCCGATTCATCAGCCCGGAGCCTGTCCCACGGGAAGTCATCGATAATGTCATCCACACTGCAGGCACGAAACGGCATTAAAACATAATTCACTGGGATTCACCCTAGGATATTAGTCTGAGCTTCATTTTGAAGGATTTTTTTTCTTCTCTTCCTGTTTTTCACGTGAGCAGGTACAGCACCTAGTGGAGCACACACAGAACCCTGGACGTTCATTGTAGTGTCAGATCCAGATATAAAGCATCAAATTAGACTGATAGTTGAAGAGGAGGAGGAGATGAACTACCGCCAGAGGATGGGGGAAAAATGGGTTCAGGATTTGGCCAAATTGAGGTAAACATGCATGCTCTTACTACAGCCAAGCAGAGATGTTAAAGAACAAACATGGATAACATTAAATTCACAACTAATTTTCAGTTATTATCTTCCAAAGTAAAAAAACACATTTTCTTTCTCTTTTCCCTCCTCTTGTAGGACAAATTGGATTAAGGAGTACTTGGATGTTGCTCCATATCTGATCCTCATCTTTAAACAGACCTACGGGATTCTCCCAAATGGCAAGAAGAAAACGCACTACTACAACGAAATCAGCGTGTCCATATCCTGTGGGATCCTCCTGGCTGCATTACAGGTCATAATTCAAATCATTTGAACCACTTGGGAAAGCAGCTCTTCTCTCTCTCGCTCATAAAATCCAAAAATGTAGTGCACAAATCTCACTGTTTCTCTCCGTCTGCTTCATCAGAATGCGGGTCTTGTTACCGTCACATCTACGCCCCTCAACTGCGGCCCCAAACTCAGACTACTACTTAAACGCCCGGCGAACGAGAAGCTGCTGATGCTACTTCCTGTTGGTTATCCTGCCTCTGATGCTACTGTGCCTGACTTGAAACGCAAGCATCTGGATGATATTTTGGTGCACGTGTGAGAAAATGAGATGCAAAAAGCAGACTGTTTTATTTTTCTTCATCAAACTCTTTGCCTGTAGCTGAGAAATCAACCAGGCAGATGCCTGATGAGACTTAGAAGTGCTTTCACAGTAGAGAGAAGCAGAGAGTGAGGCTTCTTTAGATCAGTCTTTAAGTGTTTAAGATAGACAACCAAGAGAGGATGGCATGAATCTTTCATAGCTTACTAATTGCTAACCTAGCTTTTGAAGGCAAAGTGTTGAACATTTGGTTGGCTTATTTGGGTTTAGCATATTTCTATCATGCAAATTTCAAATAAATAACCAGCAAAAATTCTTTGATTCCGTTCTATGAATGTTCCTCTGGTCTCTGATTTTCCAAACCACACACAAACAACTGAGGAAAGTTCATTTACAACAAGATTTGGATGAATGAAGAACAAGTGGTTGCTCGGTGGTTGCTCAGTTGAATGCTAACTGCAATAGCAGTGTTCAGTAAGCACCTGCATAGGGGAAGAAAAGAGAATGAACTATAAAATCAAATTAGTTCCCAGAACCTGATGCAAACTTGTTGCCTTAGAAAAAAATCTAAGTACAGCTTACTTAAGAAAACTAGGTTAGGGCTACTTATTCATTGTGAGTATAGTCCAGCCACGAGCCTTAGACTATTTTTGTGTGAGATCTTATCTAGAATCAACTTCTCCCAAATACTGCATACAATTAGAACACTGTCATTTATGTTGAGTGTTTGTAGTGTTCCTTACAAGGTGATTTCACAAGCCCTGATGAACAGGACAAAGGTCATGCAATCTCAAATTTCCATTATTTTGACAGCTGGGAGGAGTTTGTCACAAAGTCCAATTACTCACTGGAACTTTGGATAAGATGCCTATAAGAGCTTCCTGTTGCATCTTATCTGTGTTGCGAGAATTCTTCTCTGGAGTTCTGCTGTGAGTTTTTGTAACACAGAAAGATTAACAAGACAAGAGAGCACAGCAGGCTGATTTTCGATCGCAGTGTTTGGCCCTAAATGTTACTGTTGAACCTTTTGTCTGTGCTTTCCTTGCCAAAATCTCATATTTTGATCTTGGTTTGGTCTTTTTGACACCGATCTCCATATCAAGAGCTGAGATTGTTTTATCAAGATGTTGCGCCAAGATAGCAAATTGTTTTCCTTTTCCTGCAATCTGGAACACACAGGTTGGTGATTTTTCTTCCTCCAGCCTCCACAGATCTCTCCAGGTATGTGTTGAAGAGTGCTGATGAGAGCAGGCATTATCTTCAACTGCAGAACAGAAACTGGCGAAAGAGAAAAAAAAGGTTACAAAATCTCTGCACATCTGAGTGGGTAATAGGTGTGTTGGAGAAAATATAACACCCACACACTGTCCGATGTTCTGGGAATCCATCCTACCTGACAAACCATCCTACCCGTTGTTTCTGCGCATGCGCACAACACAAAATTAAGTGTCAAATCGTCCTACTTTTGTGAATATGAGCTAGAAGCATACTTGAACAGCTAAAATTAAGTGGCAAATCATCCTACCTTTTTTAATAAGAGCTAGAAACATACTCTGACAGGTAAAATTAAGTGCCAAACCATGCTACCTTTGTGAATGTTACCTACAAGCATACTTTAATGGGTAAAATGCAGTGGCAAACCGTCCTGGCTTTATGAATATGAGCTACAAGCATACTGTGATGGGCAAACTGGCAAACTGTCATAGATTTGTGCTGGAATTACTCTGTGACAGCAGAAATGTGCATAAACTACTTACGGTAGGACGTTTTGCCAAAGTAGGATGGTTTGTCAGAACCGGTTTATCACTAATGTATTAGTTAACTCACAATTTTTTTTCTCCAACTGTCTCCCTATCGCTCTCTCTTTCTATCTCTAACTTTCTCCAAGTGTAATACAATTTTTTTTATTGTTATTTTTTGGGAGGTAGTATGTTCCAATATCACTGATGCTTCTTGAAGTCCTTTAAAAAAGAAAAAAAGAAACATTATTCATCATTTGTGATATTTTGCATTTATTCTTGATGATTGGAATATATCCAGAGTATGTTTGTATATGCATAAGTGTATGTGTATATGTATGGACATTGTACCTGATAAATGTCAGTCGGAGTGACTTAATAAATGCATTAGCACTAAGTGAGACTGTATGCTGAAGTTATATTTAAATATTTATATAATTTTTTAAAATACATTCCAAAACATAATAGGCTAGAACAAAAAAACAAAAACCTGAACAAAGTGCCCAAAAATGTAAGCAATAAATTGCACAAATTGCTGGATGTAGCAAAACGCAATGAATTAAAATGAATTAAAACTGCAAATATGTAAATTGATCTATAATCACTTTTATGTTACACATAAACTACTGACAATTATCTAATGGTTCAGACTTTACAGATCCTTCATATGAAGTCATGTCATACATGGGATGTTTACATAGCTAAAAAACTAATAAAGACCCCCCCATTGCATTTATTCAAGCTCAAAAAGGAAGAACATGGACATGAGAAAGAAGAGGCCTCACCAGTCGCTGTTTATCCGGGAGAGTGAAGTGGAGAGGGTGAGCAGCTTTAGGTACCTGGGCGTTCACATCAGTGAGGACCTCACCTGGGCACTGAACACCACACAGCTGGTCAAGAAGGCTCAGCAGCTGCTGCACTTCCTGAGGAGACTGAGGAAATTTGGGATGTTTGCCAAGATCCTTAGCAGCTTCTACAGCTGCACTGTGGAGAGCACACTGACCAGCTGCATCACTGCATGGTACAGCAGCACTACTGCTATGCACAAACGCCTGCAGAGAGTTACAATAACTGCGGAGAAAATCACCAGGACCCCGCTCTGCAGAGCATCTACCATCGCAGAGTCCAAGGAGAGCTGCCTCCATCCTTAGAGACCCCACACACCCCCAACATGGACTGTTCACACTCCTGCCCTCGGGACGAAGGTTTAGAAGTGTGAAATCCAGAACATCTAGACTCAACAACTACTTCTTCCCCAATCAGACTCCTGAACAGCTGACCTACCTCAACTGCAATTTGCACATCAGGACAATTTGTACACTAAGTTCTTTTGCACATTAAGATCCTTTGTACATCCTTTTACATTGACAACTGCTTACCTCACTTTTCTTCGTTTACATATTTTGTACTTATTTATTTATATTTCTCTATTTTTTTATACTTGATTTTACCTAATTTATCCTTTTCCTTCAACCCTACCTAACTTGACATTTGTGTATGGACAGCAAACGAAGAATTTAATTGCACAGAGAAATGCTATTTCTTCTGTACACATGACAATAAACACTTTGAATCTTGAAACCATTCACACGCTGATCTCCAATGCCACCGCTAGGGGTCGCTAACGCGGGAAAGGTTTTAAAACATTAAACGAAGAAGAAGTCAAATCACATTGCGCAGGCGTACACCACGTACACCGATGCATCCATAGCATCGAGCTCTCTTGGCTGGATTGCTAACGGTCTGTCAGGTATCACACATTGGGCTTGAAGGGGGAAGAGCAGCGGTGGAGAAGAAGGGCGACCCAAGCGCCGCTACGAAATGGCCGGGCAACAGTTCCAGTACGATGACAGCGGCAATACCTTTTTCTATTTCCTAACGTCCTTCGTCGGACTTATTGTGATCCCGGCCACATATTACCTCTGGCCCCGGGATCAAAATGCTGGTAAGGCCTGACTGTGTGGCTCAGTGCTAACTGAGCTAACTTAACTGTCTAACTTAACATGAAGTTTTCTGGCGGTATTAAAGCTCGTATACGGCTACCAGCTGGCCACGATTTAGCCTCCATTTGGGTCTACCTCCAAGAGCTTTGCAGTGAAACCCAGCGACACAGGCGCCTGGAAACATGAGCTAACAGCACAGCTAAAACACCAAAAGCCAGCGTCACTCTGGCACGCGCTTAAGCTTTCCTTTGCGCTTTTATTGACCTCCTCTTGATAGCTCCCTATCTTAGCGAGACTCTATGCTAGTTAACAGAATGCAGCCAGCATAAGCTGTTATATAAGTTATGGTAGCAAACTTTATGCAGCTGGTCTACTGGGAGTAGCTGACTGGGAGAATCTGACTGGCAGGTAAACCGGTTATCGTAGTGACCTCAGATAATTTATAGAAGTTAATAAACACAGAGCCACTAAACTCATAAAATAACTATTTGTCCATCTTCTGCAATAGGATTGAAGATTGATTAATACAAAATTCGAGCTGATTGAAGTAAACAACATTACTAAACCCTCCCCCTGGCACAGTAGTGGCTCTGTGCAGCCAGGCAATCTCACTGAATTGTTGCTATGTTGTTATGCATACTGATTGTGGCTGTTTTCATACTGCTAATGTGCTTCCTCTTGTCTCAGAACAACTGCGCCTAAAGAGCCTGCGGAGGGTGCACGGCAGGTGTCTGTGGTATCGGCTCAGGCTGATGAAGTCGCAGCAGAGCATCGTGCCAACACTAAAGTGAGTCTGCTGAATTGAACTTTGGGTTTGTACTTATAGTAGCTCGTCCCACACATGGTTTTCTTGTTGTTTGGTGGATTTCCTCAGCTTCCCTTTCTAAAGAATTTTTCTGGAGGTAACATCTATGAAAGCGAACGTCTTATTTATAACTGGTTTGAGACTTCAGTTATGAATGGGAGTCTATCGTGCGTTACACCGAAGCCATAAGAAGTTTTAGTTTGAAGTCCTTCATAACACTATCTTTGTATTCTTTACAGGGAAGATTCACGGATGTAGTGAAGGTGGAATTCAGAGGGTTGGTGTGGAAGCTAGGGCTAGGGTGACATGGAGGCATATGATTTGCTTTGGTGACCGCTAAAGGGACCAGCTGAAAGAGGATCACGACTTGCATATAAATATGTTGACTTATATTTGGACAACACTTCCTGGACAGTACAATAACAAGCTTGCATGCTTAGTTGTTTGCCTGCTTGTTGAACGTCACATCGCTGCTGTTGTTTAGGATTGACTGGCCCAAGCTGTTAACACTGTGATCACTCAGACATCGTCTCGACACTGTACCTGTTTCTGACAGCATATAGATTCACTCTGAGGGTTTTTCCAGCCGGACAAAGAATGTGTTGTGGTATATGTTATGGTCAGACTGAATACTCTCTTTTTGCGTACATATAAGAACTTGCTTTTGGCATGAGTGCAGTTTATGTTGTTTGCGTGTGACTTGTGCTGTGGCTGTAAACATTTAGCTGCACTGCTTAACATTTATCTTAACATCACCCTGTCTTCTAAGAGCTGTTTATTCGCTCTGCGTGGTTTAACAGCTTCTTACTCCCACTTACTCCTCTCTCGCGCCTTCACTAGACCCACATCCTGTATTTACTCCCAGTATTTAACAACTGCCATTTATAAAGCCTTCCCTTGCTTGGCTGCTCATAGTACAGAAGACGGTGGAAGCACACAGCTTGTTTATCGGGGTGGAAAAAATCAAAGCGATCATCTCAGCCTCACTCTCAAAATCTCAGTATCTGTTTCCCTCTCACAAGTGTATCATCGGGAGCGTGTTTATTATAAGAATCCATCATGTATTTCTCCGGTCGAGCAACTCAGACAACTCTGGCTAGTGAGCTGTCGTCATGGCAACAGATGCTGCAGAGCAGGCCACAGGTTTTTTGCCATTGTCATGGTAACAAGTTCAACTTCAACGCATAAATATTAAACAAACAACAATGTCAGAACGTGGCATGTCCTTGTGTTTGGATGTGTTGGGTTGAAATTTGCTTTTAGTGTTTCAAATTATGATAGAATGTTTGTAGCTTTAAATGGTAAAGATCATTTCAGTTGCAGCGTTATATTAATGTGGATGTAGTCATCGGAAGTGTTTCTGAAAATCACAGATGTCTCATGTGGGCTCTATAGCCCAGATGTTTATTCATGTTTCCTGTTTGTGTGCTGACATTTTCAGGAAAGCAGCCTTGTTATTTGGGTGGCTCGTGTTTCTGCTGCTGGCCTACAAGGTGTCTAAGCTGGACAGAGAGTACCAGGAGTATAATCCATATGAAGTCCTCAGCTTGGACCCGGTAAACACACACAAAACAAATGGTTTATTGCAAAGCCACTGGAGTCCTTAATGTTACATTTTTATTTTTTGTATTACTTCCACATCTTACTCAAGCTCAAAACGTGTCTTTCTGGATTTCTGGGACTTCTCAGTCTTCTTTAAATTAGGGCTGATTGTCTTTGTTACCTACATTACATGTGGTGTGGTGTATTTGTGTTTCAGGGTGCATCGCTGTCAGAAATCAAGAAGCAGTACCGTGTACTGTCACTCAAGTATCACCCCGACAAAGGTGGCGATGAGGCCACATTCATGAGAATTGCTAAGGCCTATGCTGCGTAAGTATCATTGTGGTTTTGACTTTGTTCATGCCAGCCAGATTACATCTTCTAGCCCAGAGTTCTGGGTTGATCAAATAATCTGTTTTTTTCCCCCCTGCAGTCTAACCAATGAACAGTCAAGGCAGAACTGGGAAATGTATGGAAACCCTGACGGCCCAGGAGGTAAGTGAAGCTTCTCTCATGCACACCAGTTTAATGCATTGGTGCACCTTCTCCACTGATGCTGGTGAAACAGTTTCCTCTTAACTTGTAGTAAATCATTTGAAACAGCACAGTCCAGTAAGAGCAGGGATGATACGAAAAAGAGTTTGCTCCACTTTCACACACATTCTTTGTCTGTGCGGCTCCACTAATGGAATGATAGCACACTTTTGGATTTTGCGGCTTCTGTAAATGTAAACCTTTAAACTCAGTCAGTTAAATAAGTACATTTCAAGCACTGTAATAGTTTTAGATGTGTTACTTAGTTTTATTTACATTCATGAACAAATTTATCACAATTTGTTTGAGGCTGGTATCATTTGATGGGGAAGCTCTACCGGCTGTCTCTGTTGTTAAATGTCTTCTCATTAATATACAGAATCTTCAAGCAAAGGAAATAAGTTTTGGTACTGAAGGTTTTCTAGTTGTAGTTTCTTGAGGAGGCTTGTCTGCATGCAGACAAACAGAGAGGAGAGCAAAAAAGAGACTTTGTGCTATCTTTAAACAGTCACATCATCTGAAAACAACTTGACTTTTTATTAGCTTTTTAAAACTGTATCCGGATTTATACACAATTAT